CGTGTAGGCATCCGCCTTTCCCTGTCTTGTCGAGAAAGTCGATAGTCACACGAAATCCATGGTGAGATTCAAAGCTCCATTCCCCGAATATGTTTCGGGAAAAGCGGGGATCTAACTTCGCTAGGGTTTCAAACTTGTGTAACGATTCAGCGGTGATAGCGAGATCGGTGTCGTTGGTAAGAATACGATAGCCGTGAAGGAGGAGCGCAGCACCCCCGACCACAACGAAGTTTTCTCGGTGCTCCTCTCCCACCATGGCCCAGACCTCCTTAGCAACTTCCATCGAGGCCAATTGGGCCGGTATCAGGGGTCCAGATACGACGAATGTTGGGGGCTCTTCCTCCTCGGTGGGTAGACATCATAGAGAGATTTGATTGTATTATGAGTGGTGAAAGGCAGTCGGAATCGGAGGAGTGGTTCTTTGCTTGGTGTTTCTTTCGCACCTACTTTAGATCGATCAGGGAATGAGATGGCTCCTACATAGGACTGGTAAACATGTGTCTCTCATTGGCCTCGTATGCATTTCGCTATGGTGATGGAATTGGTAAAGTCTACTCGTAACCCTCCGACGTTTGTAAAAACGACTCTGTCCGCATACATCGGTATCCGATAGTTGAGGAAATAGCATTAGTAGTAGGAACCCACAAATATTAAAAATATGGATAGAATATATATCAGTAACTATATCCCCTTACTAACGTGCTCTATAGCTCCCGGCTCATGATATTCACTAGAGATACTTCTCAAAAGGCGAAAGCGGAAACATGAAGTATCACTCATCTCGTCCCCGCTGTCCCTATTTGAAACACCAGCACCAGTACGTATTATCCGTGGACAAAATTAACCGCGGTTCAGCGATAGATGGTACTGGTACTTGTATCACCTAAGCGGCATCACTTTCTTCTACTATATTAAGTGAGAAGAACCGCCTGGCGCCAGTACGTTCAAATAAGATTCTATCTCAGTTTTGTCACGAAATCGCAATACACCGCCGTAGGCAAACTCTCTATAGCGAGGACTAAGCCCTTCAGGGCTCTGATTTTGACGCAATTGTAAATCCCACCCCAGCAGCTTCTTATTTCAATGCAAAAGTGACAGGCTGTCCTCCTTAGTTTATACGGAATATCTACCACCAACTGCCAGAAAGAATGGCTGCCTTGTCCGCCGAGCAAATGGATGTCTCCCCAACCCCCTGCGCACCCGAAACCCCACCCCCTTCAACTCCCCATCCTTAACCCGCAAGCCGCCGCCGACAGATCCAAATCCACAACAACCGCAATCTCAACGTCCATATTCGTCAACCACCCGCAACCCGTACGCAGCTAGCTCCTCGTCCATGATCTACAGACGGCCAAAGTCGCTGTCCCCGTTGAACTTGAGTGGTAAGTGGGACTGGAGGAAGTCCAGCGTGGCGTGCATCAGGAAGTGGTATTTTAGCATCGATCGGGGGGGATGGGGGATTGAGGGAAGGTGTGGAGGTGGAGGGGTGAGCTCTGTTATTTTTTTTGGTTTTCAATAGTTCGTTAGCTTAGGGATGGGATGGGATGGGATGGTACGGGAGCGGAGAGGATACGTTGCGGCTGATTAGAGCGATGCACGCTAATCGTGCCAAGGTTGTGACTAAGCGTCACAACCCCTGGTTGCTCGCTCGCTCGCAACCTGGGCACTCCTTCAGAGTGCCTGCCAGCTCAACATGACTTTACAGCTCAACATGACCTGTGGCTCAACACAACTTTTTGTGGCTCAACACAACTTTTTGTG